GCCTCAGCCTCCTGAGTAGCTGGGATTACAGGCACGCGCCACCATGCCCAGCTAATTTTTTTGTATTTTTAGTAGAGACAGGGTTTCACCATTTTGACCAGGATGGTCTCGAGCTCTTGACCTCGTGATCCACCCGCCTCGGCCTCCCAAAGTGCTGGGATTACAGGCGTGAGCCACCGCGCCCGGCTCCTGCATGCATTTCTTAAGCGCCTCCTTAGAGTCTCTGAGGCTGCAGGAAAAAAGTCAGTGGCAGCCACTCCTGGGGGCTCTCAGGCTGGTGGGGGAAATAGTTCGATGTAGGTGATGGGGCGTGATGGAGGCACTAACATCGCAGCCACAGAGCGTCTGGGAACCAGTGAGTGAGGTAATGGGGGGGGGGTGCCCAGGCAGGTGTCCCGGACGGAGTGACCCTTGGGCAGGTCTTGAGGAGTTTTGAGAGGGGCTGGAGGTGAGGCTCAGGCCAGGGGAATGTGCACGGGCCAGGGTCTGCTGGGAAAAGGACACAGGGCAGTGGGGTCCAGGAGCCAGGTGGAGGGTGCTGGGTCTGTCCCGCTCCTGCGTTGGAACATGGTCTCCAGTAGCCCTCACAGGCCTTTGTGGGATCACAGTGCTCTGCAGAGGCAGCTGCAGGAGGACCCCAGGACAGGGTGGCTGCTGCCTGAAAACCTCTTTCACCCTAAGCCAGTGCTCTGGGTCTGAGGCCTGACAGCCCCAAGGGGGTTAGAGTCCAGGGCCCCACCATCAAGCCCATGTATCCTGAACACCTACTCTGTTGGCAAGTGGGGGAAGCAGGCCAGGGAGGATGAGTAAGTCGTGGACCTTGCCCTCAAGGAGTCTAAGACCAGCACAGGATTAGATAAGCACGCCCGGCTCCTGAACTCTGCAGGGAATGAGATAAGGGTGGCAAGAGAGGCCCACAAAGCCAGTGTGGGCAGAGAGGGGAGCAGCCTGCGGAGTCATGGGACAGCCTGCAGGGTGAAGTTGCTGAACTGGGCCGCAGCAGGGGCTGATGGGAGCCCAGGGATTCAGAGCAGCTGGGGAGGAGGCAGAGCTGCCCGTGGGAAGGGACGAGAGACAGTGTCTTAGGGGCCAGATGTTGGTTGCATAAAGTCCCCAGAAGGAGAAGGTCCAACTTGCTCTGTGACTTCAACAAATTTGCACTCTCTCTGAGCCTGGTCCTCCCCTCCCAAACAGGTTCATGATGGACTCCAGGGGGACTAGGTCCTGGATGTGCTTGCCTGGCAGACAGAAAGGGCTCATCAGCCAACGCCTGTTATTAAGCAATTTGAAATTTATTCCTAGGTCTGTTTCCCATTTTACAAATTTTATTTTTTAGTACCGGAAACCTTTTTATTCAAATGAAAAATTCTGACAAGGCACAGTGACTCACGTTGGTAATCCCAGCAGTTTAGGGGCTGAGACAGGAGGACTGTTTGAGGTTAGGAGTTCGAGACCAGCCTGGGCAACATGGTGAAACCCCATGTCTACAAAAAATACAAAAATTAACCAAGCATGGTGGCACAGGTCTGTAGTGTCACCTACTTGGGAGGCTGAGATGGGAGGATTGTGTGAACCCTAAGAGGTAGAGGCTGCAGTGAGCTGTGATTGTACCACTGCACTCCAGCCTGGGTGACAGAACGACCAAGACTCTGT